CTTATTGAGATTGTGATGCTGGAATAGACCACTTCCAGCTTGTGCCCGTATATTTAGGAGAACTGTCTGTAAATAGTTAACTGGTCTTAAGAAATTCCCCATGAAGTTGAAGATAAGGAGGCACTAGGAGTAAGTATCAAAGGAATCTGAGCCACCGGCTAAGGCAACTTGTGCTTTCTGGACCTGCTTAAGCTCAGTCTCTTACAAACCATTTCCATTTGATGAGGAATTACTCTTGTGTATGTCCAGTCTTATGGATTGGTGGATCAGATAACACTCAGTTCATAATGGGCAGCTGAGCTTGCAGTCACTTGATTGTCTCATGGCCAGTCATTCAAATTCACTTAGCAAGCTACAGACCATTCCTCAAATAGAAAATTGTTATCTGCAGAAGAGGGCATGGCTTGCTTTACAACTAAGGAATTGTAGATCTAATCAAGGTTCACCAGAGGCTCTATATAGCATCCTTATTTGCCACAGACACTTTAAGTATCATTGGATTCCTCTGGGTCATCAAATCCTGCTACAGATATTTCTTCTCCCCTTACTCCTAATAAAAAATTCCAGCCTTATGGGTTGCTGTATAAATGGGTCACAGTATCACACTCAGATGTGGTATGTATTGCCTCTAAAATCCAAAGATACCCAGAAAGTATTGTGTTTCTTTTCTTAGTGGTAGATGGTAAAAGGTGAAGTAATTTTTTGTCTTTTACCTTGGAGAGAATATCCTGGTGTTTTCTAGACCACTGGACCTCCAGAAACTTCACTAAGGTGATGAATTTTCTTGGGGTTTATACCCAATCTCTGGCTCACATGTGTGTTGTTAAGGCAGCTAAAATATTTGTTACTTCCTGTGTATCAGGACCAATCAGTTCCATGTCTTTAACATAGTGATCAAGACCTGTGCAGATGAGATTATGCCAGCGAGTGGGAGTGTTTACATCCCCTACAGAAGACTGTAAAGGTGTACTGTTGGCCTTGCCATATACAAGAAAACAACTTTTGGTGAAAATTGAAATAGATAAAAAGCATTTGCGATATCAATAGTGCACACTAGGGCTGTGTTGCTTTGTTGCAGTAAAGACAGCATATACAGAATAGCAGCTGCAACTGACATTACCATTTGATTAAGTTTACAACTTAATAACAAATCATAGTTATTCTCTAAGATCTTTTGCATAGGCCAAACAGGTGAGTTAAATGGGGATGTGACAGTATTATCATTCCGGTATCTTCTACATCTTTTCTGGTGGTAGTAATTTCTACATATTTCCAGGGATTGAGCACTGTTGTTGGTTTTCTATTCTGGTATCAAGAGGAAATTCCAGAGGCTTCCATTTGGCCTGTCTTACCATAATAAACTTTACTATGTGGGTCAGAGAAGTGATGTTGGGATTCTGTTAGTTACTGAGTATGTCTATTCTAATTAAGAGTTGAGGAGATAACTATAGTTTGGGTGTGCAGAGCTACTGGATCCACACTGATTTGTACTTGGTTAAAAAATTTCATTTATCACCTACCATAGATCCCCATTTCGATTGGTGGATCCAGTGGTGTTTGCAATTCTCAGGAATTAGCATTAATTCAGAAGCAGTGTCAGTGATCCCTCAAATGTCTGGGTATTTCCTTTTTACCCAGTACTCGCTCAGCCTAGAAAAAGACATCAGATTCCTTTGGATAAGGCTTGGATGAGGATTTGTAGTATATATTTATGACAATGCTGCAAGACGCTCCTGAAGGGAACCAGCTTCCCTTTTAATCAAGGAGCTCCGTGTCTGTGAACTCATTTAGGTATGGAAACTGAATGAAAGATAATTTCATTTTGATGGCTCAAGGGAGCTTTCAGGCGGCAGACCTAGAGTTTTGTCTGTTGTAAAGATCAAGGGCTATTTCCAAAGTCTGCCCGTCTATTTCATTCCTAGGACAACTTAGGGCACTGGCAGATATACCTGTAGGTTAAGACCTTTAAGTGCTACTTTGTCTCTGCTGTCCATTACAGTAAACGTGCCCACCTTGTCTCTGCCAGCTAAGTGCTGCCTCTTGGCCATTGCTGTCGCAGGATCCCACAAATATAAAAATCAAGGAGCCATCTCAATGAAAGCATCTCCCACCATCATATCCAGCGACTAGAGAGTTTTTCTGATATTCTCTCTCAAATGTCTTTCTTTCTTTCTTTCCTTCCTCCCTCCCTCCCTCCCTCCCTCCCTCCCTCCCTCCCTTCCTTCCTTCATTTCTTCCTTCCTTCCTTCTTGCTTGACAGAGTCTTGCTTTATTGCCCAGGCTGGAATGCAATGGCATGACCTCGGCTCACTTCAACCTCTGCCTCCTGGGTTCAAGTGATTCTCCTGACTCAGCCTCCCGAGTAGCTGGGACTACAGGTGCGTGCTACCACGCCTGGCTAATTTTTTGTATTTTTAGTAGAGATAGGGTTTCACCATGTTGGCCAGGCTGGTCTCGAACTCCTGACCTCAGGTGATCCACCTGCCTCAGTCTCCCAAAGTACTGGGATTACAGGCGTGAGCCATGGTGTCCGGCCTGTATTTTTCAATGCTTCAGTATAAAGATCATCATCTGGCTCTCCAGGAATATGTAGGGGTTAGTTGTACAGATTATACATGATAAAATTATTCCAACATTCCCATCTCCACAAACCTTTGGATTTCTTTCTCTACATTATACCAGCGGCATTCTGGCATCTCAAGCTCACCGAATATAGTCCCCCGCTGAGTCTGAGTCTCATTTAATGAAGTAAACAAACTGTTTGAATCACTGTCAGAGTACTGGCTAACACATTAAAAGCAGACCTTCTGATAAATGTAGTCATATCAATAAATTTTGCCAAATCCTCTGCTCCCTATTTTATTTGAAACTTGGCCACGAGTTGTTCAACCTTTCACAAAGTCATGTCACCTATGACAACACCGATCTTGATATTTGAATTGCTAACACTATGTATTCACATCTGTCTGCATTTGTAATTCTCATTCACAAAGCCTCTCCATAGAGGTGGAAGCATCTTACTGCTTCGTTTTGTTAGAAGACAAAGAGAGTTGTGTTGTACCATTTACCTACTGAAATACATATTCATTATAAATTACTTTCCTTTAATTTTTCCTTTATTGTACAATTAGGACAATATATTGTTGCTGGGTTTTTTTTTTTTAATTTGTATAGGTAGGTAATATTATCCACAAATTACTTTTCAGGATAGTAAGGGGAGTGTTAAAAATACTAGTTACAAAAAGAAGATGATGATCTGATTGGGCGGAGAATGGCTGCCTCCCCACATTGGCCCCAGGAACTTAGGTGCAGGCATGTCTGCGATGAATCAAATTGGATCTTGAGTGAATCTTCCAGATTAAGTCATATGTTATCACTCTTCTGAAAGATGGCTCTATTTTAGTAGAGAATGCAGGGTCCTATTCAGTTTACTTACAAAGCCATGCAGGATGTTCAGTAAATAGACATACAAATAACAGCAGTGAAGAACTGACTCATAGATGCAACATAAACAATCTGTTGTATGTCTGAGAAAGGCCTTGTAAAGAATTTTTTTGTTTGTTTCCATGCAACATTGATAATAGAGGAGTGGAAGCCAGGAACAAGGTTCCCTGGTTCTTCTTGTCTGCATGATCTGAATTATAATCTATAGGACTAATAAAGGTACATTTGGGATTTAGCTGCTTTGACAACCAGAGTGGCTGCATGGTAAATGTGAGGATATTAAGGCTCCTTTCTCTCCTGTCTCACGTGCAACCTTTGGGGGAGGTTCTAAGAGTAGGGAGGAAGACTGGACATTTGGTTTGTGAATATACAGGAGAGGTAGATGTTTGGTCTTGACCAAAGAATTCTGTAGCTCTAGTTTGCTCTTCAAAGCTGTTCAATGCCGCCCTACAGGTTTGCTCTATGGCCTGCCAGGGGCACACGGGGCTGCCTGGGAGCACTTCCTCTCCACTTGCTTACTTCATTCTGCCTCCTCCAGATCTCAACTCCTGTCACTTTCTCAGGGAAGCCTGCCCTCAACCCACCAGTCTGGTCTGATTCCTTTGTTGTGGGTTCACTTCAGAAGCATATTTTCCCTTGAGATCCCTTATCTCAGTTTGTAATTACATTCATTAGCAGAGACTATGTGGTTTATGTTGGCATCTTCTGAGAGCAGGTATCTTATTTATGCTCTCTGTTTATTCCCGTGCCTAGCCAGTGCCTAACAAGGTAGGGACTCAGTACATAGCTGTTCAATGAATAAGTGTTTGCTCCAAATTCCAGAACTATCAACAGTTACTATGCTTACGAATATGACCGTTGTGTCTGCAGCCCATGGTGTTTGACAGCTGTCATCTATTTACTGAAGAGCTTGGTAACTTGGGGTTTTGTAGAAATCAGTAAGGACTGGTGGGAACACCCAAAAGCCCCATCAACTTGGTGATTTAGGACTGCTTTGCTTCTCCAGGAACTCCACTCCACCCCCACCAGCAAAACCAAACCCAGGGTGTTCGAATTTAACAATAGTATGTGTGTGTGCACGTGTGTGTGTGTGTGTGTGTGTGTGTGTTTAGCTGGAAGATGGCTGGAGAACAAGGTGGAAGGGTCAGAGTTTCGGTTCCCTCCACCCATAAATGTTTGAGAAACACCCTCTAAAGAATCCACTGCCTCCTGGCATTAAACAAAGAGAGCATCGGAATTGCAGTCCCTGGCGAGGTGGGATCGTCGGGGCGCTGCCACCATCTGATTCTGGGTTAGGGGAAGGGGGCGTGACCCCGTCTCCCCGGTTAAAGTGGACGGGGTGTGAGTGACAGCCTTTCCTGCCCCCTCGGGGTGTGTCCCCGCGGGCTTCCCCACCCGTGTGTGTCAGACCCATCAGGGAGGCCCGCGATCCACCAGGGGTCCGGGGCCGGCCGGGCGGGGCGCCACGTGCAGGTGCGGAAGGCAGGCGGCGTCCCGGTGCGGGCGCGGGGGCAGCGCCGGGGGCCGGGCTGCGCGGCGCGGCTGCGGGCGGCAGGAGGCAGCGTCGGCCCAGGCGGCGGGCGGCGAGCAAGCCAGCGCGCGGTGATGTCAGTGGCGGCCCGGCTGGCAGCAGCCGGTACTTCCTGTGGAAAGGCGGGCGGGCTCGGCTGCAAACCCCACTAGCCAGTGTCAGCCTCTCGGCGGGAGGAGGTGGCGGCGGAGGAGGAGCAGGGGGAGGGCTGTCAAATTCGGGAGCCAGATTTTTTTCCCTTCCCCTGGCAATTCCTTCCGCTTCCCCGGCTCCCGGCGTGACATCTGCGGGCCGGGGACCTGCATGTGTGTGCGCGCGAAGGAGCGGAAGAATGGCAGTGCTCAAACTCACCGACCAGGTAGGGGGCGGCGGCGCCGGCGGGCGGGACGCGCGGGCGCAGGGCGGCGCGGAGCCCGGCGGGGGGATGGGGGCGCGGCTGGAGCGCGCCCGCGAGCTGTTTACTCACGGCGAAGGGGAGGAGTGTGCGCGGCCGCCGGTGCCTCCGAGAGCCCGCGGCGGCAGCTCCCCTCCGCGGCGCCGTCCCCGCCCTGGGCCGTCGGAACTGCGTGCCCGAGTCCGGGGCAGGGCCCGCGGGCGCTGGGCAGCTGGGTCGCGGGGTGCGCGAGTGCGGCGGCCGCGGGCCCGGCGGAGCCGGGGAGGGGGCCGGGGGCTCGGGGTGCTCCCGGGACTCCCACCGCGCCGCGTTGAGTGGGCGCCACCGGCCGGCGCCCCCGGGAGGAGGACGCTGCACGTAGAGGGAGAAAGGATCGCAGACTGGGACCCCTTCCCAAGCCTAGCAGGAGTCCTGCCCAGAATGCGGCTCTTGTGTGGCGGGGCTGTCTTTATCCGTTGGATGTGACATCCCGACTTCCTCTTTAGTTGCCCCAGGCTGTGTGCGCGGTGCGGGATGGGGACCCTTGGAGACCGCCCTTTCAGATCGGGCCGGTCCCTCCGAGGAGGAGGTCAAGTCGGCTGGGAGTCTCCACTCACAGGCGGTGGGCTACGGTCTGCCTGTGTCCACCAGCTTTGTTGGCTTTCCTTGCTGAGATACCACACAGGGCAGCTCTGGAGTCCTGGCTTGGAGAGGTGGGGTTATTTGCTGAATCGGATTGACAGTCCTTGCCGCAGGTCTGTGGAATGGTAACAGCCACCTTCGCGGACTCTGTTGCTCTTACATTGACACTAACAGTTACCAAACCAAGTTGCATGACAAAACTCTTTGCAGCTCTTTTCACGAAAAAAGGAAACGGCTTGCCACCCCCACCCCCACCCCCGTTTATTCATCGGTAGTGAAAGGAACTTTGTTTTGGGGTCCTGGTAGGTAGAGAGGCAATCTTGACTTTGACCACAGGGTCAGACGTGCCAGCCCTTGGTATTAAATACCTCAGACTTATCCATGGGTTGCATCTGCTGCCTTGCGTTCTCCAGTTAGTATCCAGTCAGAACATCTTGCAGCTGAAATGCAGTCCGTCACCACAATGATTTGCAATGATTTGTTCTCCCGCCTTGTAGATTCCATTTTTTTTTTTTTTAGCTTGTTTCCCCTAAATATTTACAGGTGTTTGGCGGGGTTGGTGATGGGGAAATCACTGAGTTAAAATTCACGTTATTGTTAAATTTAGTAGGAAGAGCAGCTGGTACTTGTGATGAATGTATTTGTTCTCACTGCTTCCAGAGCATTTAAAAGTGTAAGTTGATATCAGGATTTCCTTCACCTTTTGGTCACATACTTTGCCAACTGTTAGACATTTGCTTATTTTAAATCTTATAGTTTTAGCGTGTCTTGGGCCTGTCATCTTTGCTAGTACACGTTGCTGTACTTGTCTGTTAATCCCTAGATCTTCAAAGTACAAAGAATGGTTCTAATAGGTATTGTTGTTATCACGTATAAGAAAGAACATCACATGGAAGTTTAGAGTTGTAAGGACTCTAAGGATGATCTAGCCCAAACCCTTTATTCTCTAAATGACAAAACAGATCTGGAGAAGTGAAGCAAGTCTTCCTCAAAGAATGCCAGCTACAGGCCTGCAGGACTGGGACTAGCTCCTGTCTCCTGCCTTCCAGGCGCTTGTACTTTCTGCTAGAGTTGGCATAGGAAAGCTCCATCATCTCACTGGATGTGTTGAAAGCGTCACAAGAACACATCTCTTCCAGATCAAGATCAACCCTAGTGACTTGGTCTTAGAAAGAAAGGAAGTTATTCTTCAGGGCTTATCAGAGCAGGAATTTCAAAGATGTTGCCTTCTAAAATGTTTCCAGCCGAGCGCGGTGGCTCACGCCTGTAATCCCAGCACTTTGGGAGGCCAAGGCCGGCGGATCAGGAGGTCAGGAGATGGAGACCATGCTGGCTAACACGGTGACACCCCGTCTCTACTAAAAATACAAAAAATTAGCCGGGCGTGGTGGCGGATGCCTGTAGTCCCAGCTACTCGGGAGGCTGAGGCAGGAGAATGGCATGAACTCGGGAGATGGAGCTTGCAATGAGCCGAGATGGTGCCACTGCACTCCAGCCTGGGCGACAGAGTGAGACCCTGCCTCAAAAAAAAATGTTTCCAAGTATATTTCCTTTCTTCCCCCAATAAACCAGTACGAGTATGGAGAGAAAGGAAGAGTCTCACAACCTTTATTTGGTTATATCTCCGGATACATAAAAAGAACCTAAGGCATTTTAAGATTCAAGAACTTCTGAAAATGGCCAGTCTATCTTGGGGCAAAGTCAGAAAGAGATGGGGTGGGGAAGTGGCCTGGGTGGAGTTGGTGGTGAGCAACGATGGTTTCTGTGTAGCTTTAGGTCCAGGAAGTAAGTGTGTGGTCTTTCTTGCCTTATATAGTCTTACCTTTTCTGTTTGAGACTCAATTCTTAGAAGTCAGTTCTTAACCTCACAGATTAACTTTTAAAACCATTTGCTTAGACCACTACTAGAAGAGTTTTGCTCCATCATTGTGGGTAGGGAGCTGCCTGCTTGGAATCCCTGCCTTAGAGTTTGTGCAGGAGTGCCTTGCTCTCCATTCAGCTTCTAGTAAAACAACCACTTCTTAATTTCTCCCTCCCCAATTTTTTTTTTTTTTTTTTTTTTGAGTCAGGGTCTCACTCTGACTCAATAGTATCATCATGGCTCACTGCAGCCTTGGCCTGCCAGGCTCAAACGATCCTCCCACCTCCGCCTCCCCAGCAGCTGGGACTATGGGCGCATGAGCCACCACACCTGGCTAATTTTTGTATTTCTTGTAGACACAGGGTTTCACCATGTTGCCCAGGATAGTCTCAGACTCTTGGGTTCAAACAATCCACCTGCCTCAGCCTCCCAAAGTGCTGGGATTACAGGTGTGAGCCACTGTGCCCAGCATCTCATCTGTTAAATACCCTATTTGTGAAGTGAATCTTGATTTTTTGCTAGGCCTCTTGGATTTTTTGTTTGAGGACACACTCTTGCTGTCGATAACCTGAAACACAAATTGTGTGGATTTGTCTTTAAATGTGGCCAAAGTCAGGGGAGACAGATGATGACATTTTCTGTCCAGCTAAAGCTGGGTGCAGGAGCTTGCTAGGTGAAGCAGACACTATTTCAGCAGTCAATCCTGCAGTGACCTCTCAATCTTACAAGAGAAGGAAAATATTTTTTCCCAACTCTTTTTTTTTTTTTTTTAGAAGAGTAAAAAGAAAAAGGGAGAGACCAGTGTGATTTTTAGTCTTTTTTTTTCACTGTAAAAAAGGAACTGGAGCTATCACTACAAACAAACGAACTTGGCATTTAGCACTTCTGCATTTGTAACTTTTGTAACTGTGTTCCTTCTGTTTTCTTCCTCAGCGGACACACATCATTTTTCATGCAGTCTTAGGGGACACTAACCATCCTGGTTTGTGCAGATTGGTGTCCCAGCATATGGGGCTAAAACTGGGAAAATTCCAGGCAAACTGGGAGGAACTGGTTACCCTATGTAACATAGAACACACTCAACTATGTCATTAATATAATAATGTAATTATTTCCTTGTATGTGGACATTAGGAGTTTTATATTTTTGGTAAAGTGAGATAATTTTAAGTTTGGGAAAGAAAATTTTATTACATGAAGATCTAAGGCATTTTGACTCAAAGATAGCCATGAAGTCTTTTTGAAAATGATTTGATATTGACTTTTTTAGGTTGTTCTTTATGTCATATAGTTGAAGTCCCTGTAGTCATTTTAAGTGTATGGTCATATCTTCAGCCTGGGTCTCTACCCAAAATTTATTTTCAGAGTTACGAAGCTAGGATGGTAAGTTCTGTTGCATGTTTAAAATGTCCACTATTCTTACCTGCATTTGTTAATGATAGCACTACTTTCATCTCGGAGGCTGCCTGTAGACAAACTGTTTCAGCAGGTGGCCGTTTTGGAGCTTCCTGCCTGGAGGCCTTCTGTTTTGGTGTTCCCTTGCCAAGTCCTAGTTCACACTTGAGTCACCTACCTTCTTGCCAAAGGCAGTGCCTGGCAGCGGTGGCAGTGGCAAGAGACTAGAAATCCTGTGTAACTTTGGGAGCAGGATTTCTAGCCCATAGTGCGGGGCCTTGGGACGTGTTACACATTTTATTGGGCTGCCCTTGTTCTTCCATCACTCCCTAGAGCACTGGTCTTAAAGCAGACACCATGCTGTAGTCCTGTCATCATCAGAGAAGAAGGGAAAAGAAAGGCTTTATTTAGAGCCTTTTCTGGATGTTTCGGGACCCAATCACATGGTTTTGAGAGTGCACTTGAAGCTGGTGTTTCATGGCAGAGACCTAATCATGTCATACATTTATTGTGCTCTTATTGTATACTGGGCCTTTGCAGTGAGTCATGTCTTAATCCTCATAGCCACACTAGGAGGTAGGTGGTGGTGTGATTCCTATTTTATGGATGAGAAAACAGGAATGGAAAGACTAATTGACCTGTTTAGGGTCACACACCCAATAAGTGATCTAGCACGTTGTCCTATCCTGGCAGTCTGATTGCACAGGTGGAGCTCTGACCACAAGGCTATACTTTTCATAGTTGAAAGGGCAGTGCAGCCGTAGGATTAGTGGGTGCCTGCTCTTGTTTACAGAGAAGCCATTGGATGAGCAGCGTTCCCTGAACTCCTTCTGCCTCTTGGGCCAGACCCATTTCTGTACAGAGTAAGGAGCTGCTTTGAGGCCTCTGCCCCTGCCCGGCTTATATCTGGCTTTTCCCATTAGCCTCTCCACCTCTCCACCCCGGTGAATGATGTGTTGGTAGTTCAGTGACTTTTTTCATATATGTGTGTATATATATAAAACAAATGAACCGCAGTTATTATAGGAAAATCAGAAAACTAGAGGAGCAAAACCAAAAATTTTTAAAACCATCTGAAGCCTCTATAC